AAAAATTTGAGAAAAAAGAAAATTACATTCAAATTAAAAATCTGAGAGTGCCATTTCTGGGCATATAGGGGTGCCTTAATCGAAAAGTTACTTTCTTACCTCAGCCCCAAAAATGGTGGGGATGAGGTGGGGGAACCCTTCATCTGGCAAAGTCCCTCCCCGTGGGCCCCCTCTATTTTAAACCACTGGCTCTGCCTCTGTTTTTATTTATATATTATGTTTTTATGATACTCTGTTATAATTCTTTCTGTTGCCAAATCTTTTCTCAATATTTTTCTATTCCAGTGATGTAGACAAAGAAGCCACAATTATCAGGAAAGAATATCCGGACTCAATCGTGAAAGGGCAACAGAACTTAACAATTATTCATAGATAGCCAAAATATGTATCACTCATCAAGCTTCATGCCAGCTGGGCTTTCCGGGCAAGAAATTCTCGATATAAAATTTTGGATATGAAATAATTAAAATATAGTGTAAATTTTATTGTTTAAATGTTTCCTCTGCAATAATCTCAAAAATAAATATTAGCAATATGTAGTACGGTAATTCTTGTAGGCATTATGTTTATTAATATTGTATTATTACTGCTAATGTTTATCTTATTAATAGAGAAAGTAAGCCGTTTGTTGTAAAGAATATAGACATGTAAGATAATAAGATATAACATTTTGAGGATTAAAATCTGATTTATTGATTTTTGCCGGATGTACATAATATAGGCCTACAGTATATAAATATAAAATATATATATAATTATATCACAACTTGATTTCAATGCTTGAAAATAAATATCAAATGGAATTGTGCATTTCTTCTCATCTCATTTAATGTCTATGTTTACTGTAATAATTTCAGTAGCTAAAATATCCGTATTATAGTAAGCTTATAAGCTTAAACTAAAAGTGAAGAATTGCTTCATGAATATGTGCTAGTTTATCTATTAAACTATCAATTCTTTCGAGGACGCCCTCAACAAAAACATAAAACCGGAAATGACGTAGTTGCTAAGCAACAAGCTCATGCATAATCATGAATATTCAGTGACACCTGTTCTAATTAGACTAACAATAAAATCTTTTTGGTCGATTTTGTCAAAACTGAGCTAAAAGTTTTTATTGTTAGTCTAATGAGCACAGGTGTTACTGAATATGCATGAGCTGTAGCCTAGCAACCGACGTCATTTCCTGTTTTGTAAAATTTGACAGCACCTTGCTCTGAAGAGTTTCGTAATTTGTTGATGTGAATATATTTGGAAAGAGTGTTTATAAGATATAGTAGCCTGTAATTGTGCTATATTTGAATCGAAGTGATTATTATATATTTAATTCGATTAGGCCTATATAGGCCTACTGAATAATAACCATTAACTATATAATATTATTAATGCAATTACGACAAAGGAAGTACTCACAATGATGTATTATAAATATAGTTTACTTTTATTTCTTACATACTCGGAAATGTTACATCAGAACTATATAAACGTAATATAAGATAAAATAAGAAACGCTACATAGGAAAATTATTTACCTGGTCCCATAGACTCGAGTCAGCTCCAGCATGTAACATGGTTTGGGTTCCGTCCTGGTTAACTTGGTATTAGTGAAATTGAGTGTCGCCATACTGTAACACAACAAAAACTTAACGTGTATATATATATGTATATATATACATATATTATACATATGTATATATATATATGTATATATACATATATATTATATATATATACATATTCGGTATAGAATACACAATGCAGAAAATAATATTAAACTGTATAAATACACCAAGATTTTGAGAACATTAACGGCATTAGGACCACTTTATGCTACATTGTATTTTAATGAATGTGTATTTTTATGCGATTGTTATCGGCCTATTTAAATAAAAGTTTTATGACCATGGATCGTTTTTAACGCACTATATAAATAATATTACACTTTATTAAATTAATTAAAATGATTTAGATAGAAAATTATAGAATGTATATACAGACAATGATTTTGAGAACATTAATGGCATTAAGATCATGAATTTATATATTTAGCGATTGTTATAATAGGCCTAATGTATTTAAATGGGTCGTAAAACTCATTTACGACCCAAGGATCGCTTTTAAGTCAATATAAATAATACTATACTTCAATAAATTAATAAAAATTATTTCACTTAGCCGACTTATAAAGAGTACTTGGATTTACATTTTGAATGTAGGTTGCAAAAACTTGTGCTACGACTACGACTGTCATTACACAATAACAAATCTTTAGCTCTGTTGTTTACATTTTCACTCAGATATTCCGGTTTAATGCCATTGTATGAAAATGACTCAAAACAATTTTAGAGCACAGTCTCCAGTCTGAAAACGTAGGCCTGAACAGCGACGTAACAATGGATACCGCAATTAAATCTAACGCTATGAAGGCATACGGTATTGGCTTGTACAACTAACACTCTCTACTTACCGGTGTATATTTTCTTACTTAGAAGAAACACCATTCCAAAATTCAATATTTCAGAAGATATTTTTGCGACGACGTGTCTACGACACAGTTCCGGTAGTTCACATACACGCTTGCTTCAACTGTAATTTGGATATTATGAGACAGGTGCACAACCAACCAGGTATCTGAAAGAAAATTAATGCCAAGGACAGTAGTGGCCTACCTACAAATTAGTTCAGCGTTCACCCCTCATTATAGCGTCCACCCTCGAATTGGTCTAGCACTGGGGCCGAAACGGTATCCAACCAGTTTGTCAAAATCCAGTTTTCCGAAACCCATGATTGTCGAATTAATGGCCTCTTGCCGAAACCCATATTTGCCGAATCCAGTTCACCGAAATCATGGCAACCCAGTTTGCCGAAACCCAGTTTGCCGAATCATTTGCCGTCACCATCGTACAAAAGTACAGCATACTGTGCTTTTGAAAACATGATGGGTGGATCAGGGAGGAGCCATATTACATTCCCCTATTTGTACCCGTTCGTGTAAATGCTCCGTTTTGAATAAACGCCATAGAGCCTCATTTGGAATAAACGCCTCTTTCGAAAAAAACACCCCGTGGCGTATATTTTTCCTCGAATAAACTCCCCCTTGACTGTAAACAGATCTAATGGAAACATCATTCCCAACACTTTCTACTAACGTTTTACTCCAGTAGAATTACATTTTAATTACAGTGGATGGAGCGATTGAGTACCGGTATACAGTCCTACAGTACGTACCGGTATCCATTTGACACAAAAAATAAATGCCTGCCTCGAATAAACACCTCCCTCGAATAAACTTACTCTCAAAAGCCATTCTCAACAATTAACGCCTCAGGGCGTTTATTCGACGAAATCGTCCGGGACCAAAATTGATAATTTGCCAATCCATCTAACGTATTTTGATTGTCAATTTCTAATATTATGGTATAAAAAAAAATCCAAAAAACTCCCAAAGCGAACACATGGATTTTTTTTTATGCCGGGACGCTGACAAAGGCTCTAGTCAGCCCCTTGATTCGGGTGTATAATTGTAGATTATTATTTATTTATTTCATTTAGGTATATATTTTATTATCTTCATTATAATTTATACATGCTTATATTGCTTATAAGACATTTTATCTGACAGGCCTATTTAATTATTTTTTTTTGCTGATAGCTAAACTGTTAATCAAGTTTGACTTACGGAATAAGACAAAACTAATTATTAAACTACAATAAGCATAATACTGTATACGAATAAACAGAGATCGCATCGCACTTCGCATTGGAAGGCTTCTAAATTCTCAATTTCGCAATTCTGGAATTAGAGAGTGGAAAAGAACAATTTCCAATTATGGATGAATAAATAGGTATTTATGTCTATTTACTTTCCGCTGGCTCCACCAGTTCGTACACACGCAGTCACGGTAAAAGAGTGCTGTTTTTAATTTTTCACTGCTTTTGATTGACTTTCGGCAAACTGGGTTTCGGCAAAATGGGATTTCGGCAAAGTGGACTAAGCGATCTGTGATTCGGCAAACTGGATTTCGACAATATGGCGTAGATCCGACGAAACCTCACCACCAGGCCCTGATCTGAGTAGACATTACATAATAAACAGAGGAAGACAATAGAAAGTTCACTCAAATAACTGAACAGAAGGTATGTTCACATGTCTCCACAGTCGCGTACTGTAAATCCTCGAATAAGCGCCGCTCTCGTATCCAGGATTAAACGCCGCGGTCCTTATTCCTGTGTGTAATGAAACACTTTGAAAAATAGGGTTTTAAATACTGTACAAGGCAGTTTATGAATAAATAACACAATAAACACACAATCATATCTTTATACACGTTTATTTACGATGATGAGCCTATGATAGGTCTACCAAGGCCTATACGGGATGAGAATGAGATAGGAACATAGGCATATAGCAACGGGCATTGAAGCCTCCAAAAATGTTAAGCGCCCCGGCACTTATCCGGCTCTTTATACGAGGATCTACGGGACACATTTTTTTCTTTTCTACTCCACGCTGAGCGCCAATATACTGTAACACAGACTGTATCGTGTATGAGCATTATCACCACCTTTACTTATTAACACCACCATATTAATACAATCATTCGAAAACAAAAGATAGACTAAATTATGTCCATCACCCAAACAGCACTTGCAAGAAGGTGGCCGGACTCGCTCTTAAAATAAAATAAAAAACTTTCGTAAGGTTTAGGAACCTCCGGAACATTACCACAGGTATGTGCAATTGGCCTTCTTTTTCTTTCAAATCCATCCAATTCTCTAAATGCTACTGAGACGTTGTCGCCACAAATAACATCACATCCAGTGCAGAACCTCAAAAAGTTCCCTAGCATTTTGTCATTTTGTATTTTATTTATTTTATTTTATTCAATTTCCAGGTATACAAACAACAAAAACGACACAGACAAACAGCGCAGCACCCCGTGAATTGCCAGAAGTACAAAGTACTATCAAGCGGCTCTCCATGCCTCATCTCACACAGAAGAAAAATACAATTGCATAAAAAAAAGGAACAAATTAAAGCTGCCTGATATACGATCGAAGAGTAGTCACAAAAGAGTTAAAATTAAACAATAAAAGATCTCTCTTATTATTATTAGGAATACCTTGCCCCAAACGAGGACATCTATTAAAAAGTGAATATTTAAAAGAATTAGTCCTAGCAAATTTATGTTTAAATGTTATGATTTAGTGTAATAAACTTATTTCTTCTATCTATATTATATAACCATTAAGAAAGCAAAACTTTTTTTTTCGGAGGCTCCTCGATGATGAGGCTTTGCCTTGTGGGGAGCCCCTACGCACAAAAACACTAGTCAACGAATGTCCGATGCGATATTTATTAGGGGCCGGCCTGGTCCTGCTCGCCTCTCCCTGGGCTTACTGCTAATGCTATTTCCGAGCATATCAGGGGTGGCGCCAGGATTTGCCCGACGGGGGGTCCGACGTCCCCGACGGTGTGGTGTCCGACATCCCTGACGGAAAAAAGTAGGCGTGGTCGGGCGTCGCTCAAAATCTCCAGAAAGTGTTCTAGGGGGCCCAAAAATATGACAATTCAGGGGTTTCAATGGCTCTACAATATGTAGTTTTTTTTCTCCCCGACGGTGCCCTGCCAATCATTGTAATATAGAGGTGTCATCTGTGTCTATACGTTGAGAAAGGTCGCAGGTGCGACCGAAATATTCGTGAAAAATAAAAGATATATGTTTAGTTGTTATGTTAACTTGGTACTTAATTTGTTTACCTATGCTGTTCAACCATGGAGGAATAAACTAACTCTATCGTTCAACTATATATAATTCGGAACATCCGTGCATCCTATAATGAACTCCCAATGAAGCGTGGCACATGGGGCGTCTGCATAGACAGCAGAATGTCCATGATTCGAATGCCGGTCGGGCCAACTTAAAATTTAACACTTGCAGAGATTCCTCTTCTTTGACGTTCAACATTTATATATCATTATTACAATACTGAATGACAGTTCGGGTTTTTACCTCTATAAAAACTACACTGTCCTGGACTCTGTAAGCAGGCCTAGTTCACATCAGCTTAAAATAGAGGAAGCAATTCAAAACCTTCCTTAAACAAGCTCTCTTAACTTTAACGTTCACCATTTATACAGTATATCATTATTACAATACTGAGAGATCTGTTCGGGTTTTAATCTCTATAAAGGCTACACTGTTCTGGACTCTGTAAGTAGTTCACATCAGCTTAAAATAGAGGAAGCAATTCAATTGTTGGAAAACTATGTTGTATGTATATATAATGAATAATACGGTATGTCATGAACTGTAAGTAAATACCCTGGTAGTCATCAATATGTTGTTAATTAATTTGCATACACAGATGCAATTCAATTGCTAATATATTGAATGGTAATTGTCACTTATGATTGAGAACTGGCTTTTTTGGAATATATCTGTCTTATGAATAATGTTTTGTGTAATGCCTCGTTTTTTCCCCTTATTATGTAGACCGTTTGATATAGCCTTGTACATCACTTTCTCTGGTTTCAACCAACTGTGCTCAATTAATAGGAACACTTAATGTTATAATCGCATCAATTTAACTAATTAAACCTTTTCAATTATATGAAAAAAGCGGGAATTAAGGCCAGGAATCACATTAATAAAATAATTTAAATATACAAAACAATATTTCTGCTCTAAAAGATGAAACAGGCCAATTAATTGTAGATGAATGTTGTTTAAGATATCTCTTAACAAATGTCACTACGATATCTTAGTCGTTAACTGAAAATCTTGTTTTAATAGGAAATAGAGATATGTTTTAAACTAAGACTAGACGTAACTCTATTTAAAACTAAGAAATTTTAATTTCAAAGGGACATCTGTTAATAGATTTACATTTATCTTCAAGTAGATCACATAGATACTCACATTTTTGAATAAATCGTTATACAACAAAAAATACAGTAGATATCTTTTTAGAAATAAATGCCTTAGTACAGTATTTAACTACTAAATCTCAATTAATAGAGATGTCTGTGGTATCAAATAGAAATATGTCTCAAATAGAGATATTCAAAACTGTAAGATCTCAGTTTGTGATTGAAAGTTTTTTTAGTGTAGGTTTAGAGGTGGTTGTTTGGGAACACCGTTTAAACAACTTCTTTGAGTTTATTTGGTGTTTCCTTTTCATTCATTTCCAATTCACTATTTATTTTACTTGAATGTTTTTCTGAGAATGAATAAAATTAATTCAACTCGCAAAGTAACATGTAGTGTAGATAATTTTAAGGCTTTACTGTTAAAAAAGATTTGTAACATGCCGGGAATAGAAGCATTACTGAGTGGCACTTTCCCCTGATTGGCTTAAATGATAGTTTTTCATCGGGTGTGACAATGGACCGAAATCAATTCCATACATTAAATATAATACATAATTACTGCTTTTTTGAGCTTGTGGAAAGCCTGCTCAAACATTTCCACCCAGAGAATTGGAGGGCGAGGGAGACATTTTATTGATTATGGGATATAAGCCTAGCCTACTAGATATTCACTGGCATACTGGATGTTTTGATGATCTTACCAATTATCACAGAGGAATATGTATGTTTATAAACATTCAGATGCTAATTACACTACTAATTATATATAGTTAAACTGATGACATCAGATATGTAACATTATTTGAATACACAAATTTTGAGGTTCTTCTGGAAAAATTGATTAAGAAATGACACATTTGAACAAAATTAATACAGATAATGAACTAGATACTTTGCTTTTTATTTCAAGACAAAGACAGTTTACTGAATATGACACGACAAACCAAAGCAATTAACTATTTGCTTAACACAAATAACAATAATATTATATAATTTCCTGTGCTATTATTCAATTATTTGAAACAGGCGCATTTAACTATTTCTACTGAAGTGTCCAATATTATGCACTGACAATCAATCTAGGGAAGTATAAAATGGTTTTATCATTTGATGGACTGAATTCAAGATGGTAGTTTCTAATTCTATTGCACAAAAAAAAAAGTTATCTACACCAACCTGATACCCAAACTTACATAGGGACCAATCCATAAAAGTATTTACCAGGGAAAATATATTCAAATATCATAGTTTCTCAAAAAGTTTTGTTACTTGACAATACTGCAGCAAATTCTAAACATACAAAATATTGATACAAATACATCTACACATTATAATAGTATATAGTTTTCTGAAAGAAAACACTACAACAGAAGATAGACAAAAATTATAAACAAATCATATCTAAACAAGACTGTTCTTATATGGAAATTTAATTATAAGCATATTATACTAAATATTTCAAGTTCTATAAGAGTTATACAAGGTTAAATAAATATGTATCCCACTTCATAAGAAGTGATCATATGACATGTTTGATAGCCATTCTGTAATTACAATATTTACCAGGGGCGGATCCAGAATTTTTTAAACTGGGGGCACAACAGTCTCAGAATAGTTAAGTGGATAGCACATAACTTCGATTTGCATTGAAAATTTTTTAATTTAATGGCAAAACGGGGTGGGGGGAACACGAGCCGTGCCCACTACTGGATCTGCCCCTGTTTACTCTATCTGCAAATACTCTGTGCAAATGAAGTACAAATGCAAAACACTAATATGCATACAAATTCTATAACTCATCTAAGAAACCAAACATGATGTTGACTAATGCAAGCTTTTGTCATGTTGTTATGATTCTTTTGGCTGTGTGACCATCAGATCATAACATACAGTATTCATTCTAATTGTTTAAATTTACTTACACTCTTTCTGAACATGTAAAAGTGTATGAATGAAAACCGATGAGGTTTATTATTTATTAGCAGAAATGTAAAAGGTGGTTAAATAATAAATTCTACACAAAACTGTTGCACCTCGTAGTTTAGAATGAAAAGCAACACAATGATAATTATTATTTGGATATAAAGTCTTAACATATAACAGTTAGCAAGATTCAAATTTCATGACATTTACCTCAAAAACAAAAACCCAAAATTTTCAGGCATTTATTAAAATGTGGACAGTAAACAAATACGAAATATGGAATAACGACATGATAACGATGTAAAGAAATGTAAATTATTCAAAGCATTGTCCAGTGAACACAGTACCGTGATGTGCTGTGTGTGGGAAATAGTGCCCTCTATCAACGTATTCATAAATAAGCATACTGTACAGTACAATAACCATACAGGAATGGTACAAGTAACTTCTTAAACACCATAACTACAACATTGGTTACAACTGGGTAATAAGAAATAAACATAGAGATAAGAATACTAGAGCGCTAACCGCAATGTATTCGATGTTCGATATACGCAGACCTGTGTGTGTGTACCATCCAAGATGGCTGCCATAGATTTAGCCAATCAAATTTCGCATTAAGCACCATCGTTTGCAATTGCGCCCTCAATTTACTCAGAAAGTTCAGTACAGCTAGTTACTAGTATGTTTGAAACTCGAGCGTTGCGGTGTTTGGGTGTAATGTACACGATTTTAATTTTCATTCCTTGGTACTTTATTTTTGAATAAGATGCTCCACTTGGCCTCGTTTTGGCTACAATAGTTTAATAATTTGTTATTACCATTACTCATTATCATTAATGAAATAATAGTCAATCAGAGGGCTTATTAATATGTAATAATATGTATACTAAGCCTGAAGGTGGCGCTTTAGTACGACCGCCATCTTGGATGGTACAGATACATAACTTTGCATTGCTGCGCCATCTTGTCAGCACTCTAGTTGTTTAATAGCTCTATGGAAATAACAAAGACCTCCAACTGATTTTAACATTAATACATTTTCTAACAATTATCACAGTCTTACACAAATTTTCAACATTTTTAAAAGATAACCTTAAGAAAAGTTTTTCTCCAAATGTCTAAGTAACTGCATATAAAAATATTTCTTAGTGATAAGCAACTTTTATATATAAGCAATTTTTAGGAGTTACATCATTTTGGTGAGAAAAATAACACAAGTATTCTCCCAAATTATTATTGATAATATGTGATATTTCTAGACTATATTCACTAGTAGAACCTCAGACAAAACAAAAAATAATTAACTTTGTATATTTGTAGTGCAAGACTTACATAAAAGATTAAAGCAATTAATTTACATGCTCATGAAAAATGGGACCTACAGATAAATATAAATAAAAAAAAAAGGGAACACAAAGAAAGGGAACTAACACTGCTGCATTATTTTTCAGCATTTTAACTTGTAATACCTGTAGGGCAGCATGAACCAGGTCTAGCGGTGGTCAGCGAAAAAGTTTGGTGGAGCACTTTACTTGAAAGGGACCCAAGCCTCCCGAGAGGTTGTGGGAGTCTGCCGGATATCGTCAATCGTCTCATGGAAGTCTGTGCCGATGGGTATCACCATGCGCAGCAAAATAAAATCAAATATGTTAAGAAAGCTCAATAACTTAACATAAATCATGGTTAAAAACAACATGAATTATCATTACTATCATTATCATTATTAGCAGAACTTGTGTTGCATGTCTACTGCTGAAATGAATAAAACAAATAAAATGATAGATAATCAGAAGGTTTAATAACAACAACAAACTAAAAAATGTTTTTCTCCATATCATTCTTTTATGGTTGTTGGAATATCAAAACTTTGAACAAGATTCACTGTTCTAACTCAGTTGTGACGTAAAGCTTGTTGGTCCCAGAGACTCATGGAAGCTGAATTGTAGTGCCACCCTTTTTGTGAATAGGGCCTACATCAACAAAATTCCTCTGTACTTACATTAATAAGGTATTTAAATTGCCAATGACTGTACAATATTTTAAAAATTATTAAATATTTTTTAAAAGGTCCAAGGAATATGTCATCATACAAAATGCATTTTAATTAAAATTCAACATTAAACAGCATTATGCAATTATAGCACTTTTGCTTTACAGGTACAGCCCTTACAGGTGCACCCCCTGAGTTTTTATAAACTAATTTTATTTGATTTGGGCTGATCTTGAAAGAGTATTCCTTAAGGACAAGCGCATATTGCATCTATGTACAAATTCACAATTCCAAGAGCATTCACCACCATTATTTGCTAGTCTTAACTTCAATGTGTATGACATTCATATTATTATTACAAGTTATCAAAAACTATCTTTATTATGTATAAATTTATAAATAACTTATTACCAGTTAATTTCTCACATTATTTTGTTAAAGTGAATGCATTCCATAATTATGGCATCAGATCCTATGATATGTTTCGTCCATACAACTCGATTACCGACATGGCTAGAAATACTATCGGGGAGGGGAGGGGGAGATCAGACTTTATGGAATGGTATTGATGATTCTATTAGTAATTCTTCATCTGTCAAAATATCGGGGAGGAGGGGGCAAGGTCAGACTTTATGGAATGGTATTAATGATTCTATTAGTAATTCTTCATCTGTCAAAATATTCATAATGCCATAGAAAAATAAATTACTTTTAACATACCAATAAGAACTCTGATGCGAATAACCTAGGCCTACAGTATATACTTGCATTTGTTTTTATATCATAATATCATTATACTATTGCCAACATGTTTTCTGTTATTCTTATGTCTCATCCTGTACTTTAGAAAATGTTTTAAAATTGTTTAAATTATTTTATTTAATTTAGGTGGCCAAAACCTTGTACTAGCTTTGCTCTTTTTTGGTCATCCTTCCATATTTTTGTATTTTGTTTATAATCATAATACTATGGAATATAAAATGAAACTAAACTGAGGCTGATAAAGAGTTGGTCATAAAACCAGCCAGAACAAAATTTTAAAAAAATTAAAGCTGGGTACTAAAAAATAGATACTAAATCATATTGAATGATGTAAAACTATTGACTTATATTAAGAATAACAACAAATATACCTATAGGCTAATACTGGTAATAATAATTATAATGTAGTTGATAATTTTACATATATGTACACTATCAATAACTAATTTTGTTTTTATAATGAATAAGATATATTCTATGCTGGTGCTCACCATTGCCTTTTCGGCATCTGGACTCACTAAATTAATAGTCGCCTGTTAGACTAGACGTTGTACCATCACAGAACATTGCCAGACATAAGCCACACATGGTACCCTATCCTTGATCATTGTGTAGGAGCGGTTTGGCTCAACCGTTGCAGTTCTGCTTCCACAGCCATACACAGAACCAATAATCATTACACCGGGCAAGGTATAATCATGAACATTGCTATTATGTTCTTTTTAAAATTAATCTTTATAGCACAATAGGACTACATCAATATTAAACTTGAGAAAACAAGCAAATGAATTAAATGCTTCCAAGTGAGGATTAAACTTAAGTTTTTTTTTTCTTCAAAATTGTTAATTTTATTAAATGTTTTCTTTTAATTAAAATTCACAAAAACTAAAATTGAACAATATATGTACTAAACATTGAATGGAAAGAGAAGGAATACCTATAGTTAAACAAATACCATATAATTACTTTTGGAAGTTCCTATGATGATGGTAACTGAAACAGTGGTAGCCATGAGGATAAACATTTCCTCAATGTGTTTCTGTTCATCATAATCATATTGACACACACACAAACAAGATAAAAATCAAAAAGCCCAATATTATTGAAGCATGGACCTATATCTAATATTGATGAATTAACATCAATAAAAAAGTTATTTTAATTTGTTGTTCCTGTAATCGTCCATATTGGGATTTTTGCGTTTCTTGCCAACTAGAAGGGAGCGGCCAGTTAATGATCCTTGCACTTTAGCTAGCTCTCGATTCGGCAAAGCTATCCGCACACGATCTGCAAAACGATCTTCAAATATCTGTTAAATAAAGACAAATGAAATTATTACTTCAATTATCATGATTCTACAAAACTTCTTGATATGGTGTGCTTTGAGATTAATGAATTACATTGCATAAATTAAGTACTGACTATTATTACCCAATTTACCTTTTACATATAATTATTTTTTCTCCCACACCATGCAGCAACATAATGTTATCGAAACATAATGATGTGGAAATTCATAACAATGATATTGTGATAAGTATTCTTGTAATAAAAGGGATAGATATTATGTTATGAAAAATATTATTTATTAAATAAACGATATTCTTGATAACATAATCATTGAAGTCAAAAAAAAAAAAAGTTATTGTTTTTATAGATGACATAACTTTTTATTTTCAATATTAGTCAAGACTAATGCAAGTTAACATGATACATTCATTCATTATTTACTGCATGTTATGATTGTATCTATATTGTTTGCCTGTAACGATGTTGAATTTGTATGAAAGAATAAGAATGAGTGAATATGTAGATAAGACTACACAAGTATTTTGGATCAAGCCAACTTTAAGACCACACAAGTATTTTGGATCAAGCCAACTTTAATAATATTCAAGTAACTTTAAATTTAATACACAATGCACTGCATTAGGGGTTTAGCCAGAAAAACAAATTAGGCCGTCAAAAATGAAAGACGTAGCGTGGCCCTGAACGGGGCTGTGTAAAAAAAAAATTAAGAAAATTTTGACCTTTAGATTTCATTTAAGGTGTTTAAATGTTATCTACAAATGAAAATGAATAGTGTTGAATTAGCTATCACAAAGATATTTCAGTTATAGACTGCTAGATTCTACTAAGTGCATGGTTGGCTGGGTTGTTTTGGCTGGGTTGTTTTGGCCGGGAAAGAGAAATTTCCTCGGTGAATTGAATCTTGAATGAGATAACGAAAGCTCTCTAATGACTTGAGCTACTGCATGGCCGTTTTTATATTTTTAATAAAACCAATTTCTTTTTTCCCGTGAATTTGTGATAATTCGATATCACGTATAGACGCGCTAAATGTGTGAAAATTTATTTTTTATGCATGTGTTTCTGCAAAAAAGCGTGTTTCATCCAAAATAACGGGAATTCCCCCCCACGATGGTAAATATGGAATAATGTGTTTGGGGTGTATATATTTTGGATACACTTGAGTACATAGGCTGCTGTATGAGGTGCTCTATAAACCAAGTAAAAAACAATAAAAATAGGAAACATCAATAACGGCAAGAATGAAACATATTAAATTAGATAAAATTTAAGTGAGCTTATAATAGGTGCAGTTGTGTGCACCATTTTCAAATTATTGTGCTATTGCTGTGAATCTCTGGCTAAATATACTCCCTTTAAATCTTTAATAAGACAGTGATATAAACACAGCCATGTGTTGCCTGCTAGCTAATTTCAGCAAATCCATTATGCTGACACACCTATGGTCGTAACAAAAAAGCGAGATTCTCTGCTGGTGACATAGTTTACACTGCCACATTGAAAGATAAACCTTTCGTACTTCTGCACCATCATAGAAAAGGGTTTAGAAAAAGAAAAAAAAATTTCTATAATTTATTTCACAGGACATAATTTAGCAATAAATAACATTAACTTAATAATAATAAGCCACACAATCCCTGGGTATGAGCACTGTTCTGCACCCTATGGTAAAAGCGTCTGCAAAATAAGATGTTTGAAATCAGAGTCTTTGACTTTGTATTTTTATCATTTGCATTACATTTGTTTTCCAATTTTTTAGTTAACATCAGACAAATTGATGACATTAATTTGCTAAACTATATCACTTTTTTAATAAATAAATTTAAATTATTAACCATGCTTTAAAGGGGAGTTGCAGTTCAAATTTTCTATAATATTTTAGTCGTTGTATGACGCAATAGAGGAAGAATACAACAAACTAACTTGAATAGATATAAAAATACAATTTATTTCCAGTGAAAAATGCTTCATGTAAGCTATAAAAAACACTTGGCTATTGATGAAATCAAACAAGATGGAATATTGCAAAATACAGTTGAGGTAGTAATCTGAATTAGAACAATGTGAGAAGTATATAGCAATAGGAATACTGTGTTATATTGGGGTAGCACTCCTTACTATATTTGGGATGATTCAAAAGATGAGGTAATACTTGACCAATAAGAATTAAGGATGATTATATGATGTCATTGTTTTAGTTAATAAAAGGGAAATAAGTTAGCCATGGTACATTCCTGACTTATTTGTCATCAAAGTTCCTGGTACCATTAAAGGAAACAGGTTGCTGTTCTTTAGTTGAACTTTATGCTGACTATAGTAATAATACAGTACAATATACCTAGATTAAGGTTTATAAAAGAAAAATAAAATATTACATATAAATTAAATATTGCGGTTTAAAATACAAATAGCAGAGATGCTACAATATAATAGGTATTCATAGTATCTTTGAAGCAAATTGTTTGAAAAATATGATGAATAATAATATACATAGACATTTTAGTTCAGATAAAATTGTTTCTTTTTTCCAGTTTCCTGTTTCTGCAGACTCATTAACATTCATTCCTGGTGTGAATTCATGAGCAGGCCTGGTGCATAATGGGAATGTTTACTTTAGGTCTGAAATCATTAAAGTAGCAGTAAAGTTCACCAAATCAAGTGCAATACAGCACTGAATGCTCAATTGTTTAGAACTCAACTGAGGCCAAGCCCTAGGCTGTGCAGTGAAAGATGCATCTAAAAGAGTGGCTCTCTGAATCAAAGAACATATAAATCTTGATGGTAAATTGCCATTACAAGCAGACCTAAATTACAAGAATAGCAAGCACACACACGAATATGAAGAATATGAACGCATAAAGTAGTTGGCTCTTGATTACAACACAATCTCTCAGAAAATGCATATAGTAGATGCTTCTAATGGTTCATGAATCCAGGTTATACATTTAGCAGAATGTCAGCATTACCTACTGTAAGATTCAAAATCATATTTGCCACAAAGGCCAAATTGAGCTAATAACTTTACAACACAATTAAAACTATTTATATACTAAATGGGTTCTTTGTCTTTTTGTTGTTTGATGTTCATGCTCTTACCAAGGAGTTCCGCTTTTGTTCTGCCTGTGTTTATCATTACAAGAATAGCAAGGATACACACAAATATCCACCTCAATAGATTTTCATAATTTACAAGACTAATAAATGTTGCGTATTAGTATAATATACCATTTTTTTAAATTCAAATTTTTTATATTTTTCCGTTATTTTGATTCTTAAATCAAATAATAATAACAAAGAAATTCTAAAATGTTAAGAAAATTAAAAGTTTAAATAATAACACAAAAAATCACCATTATGATTAATTTAATTTTGTTTTGCTATGTCATCTCCAGTGCTATTATAGGGGAGAACATTTGTTTTAATTTCCTAAGCAGCCAATCAATGTATGGGAATTGTGAGTACCTTCTGCTATGCAATGCTAGTCTTTGTTCGTTTCAAATATTTCTGTTTTAAGCTACGTCCGTATTGAGATCGGACCCAGGACAAAAAATCATAAAATATAGGTTCAGTGTTAAAGGAGCGTTCACATAAAATTTGTATGGTTACCAATCCGGAGAGTTGGATCTGAGACCCATTTGTACCATGAAATCGTATGTTATTTTTTGTTATACCAATCAGCAACGAGCATGAATGACCTCTCTAGGTGTTTTACATGCGCGATGTAAATGCAGGGTTAAAAAAAACGTAATAACTCACAATTTTTTATCCGAGCTGGATGAGAACGTAGCTTTATTCGTTTTTATCTTTACATGAAGTTGAGACTAATATCAAATCCTTTTCTGCATTTTTCTTTATTATTTATAATTATTTTTTAAATATTATATTTTATTCAATAAATTATAATGTTGTACAAATTACTATAAATTTCATTAATTTTTAGGTCCATATTACTTACATATTTGACTTACAACAGTTAGAAGACACTATATGAATTATCAATGTTATTTATCTTTCTTTCTCTTTTAATTATTTTTTTTTTAACTGTACCACTTATTATAAAAACATTATTATAAACTTTGAAAAAACATTATTGACAGTTTGCAAAACTGGTCTATCCTATTGTTTAAAGAAGCACTTATGTAGGTTACACCTCCATGGTTACACCTATATCTTAACAATGGGCTTAGACCTTCAAAAGAAGTTTTCTTTTTGTAGGTAGCTTTGATCACTAGGGTAAAAAATGCTTTGATCTTTAGTATACTCGCAGCTATGTCACCTACTGGAGGTAATGATTTGATTGGTTAAACACATTTGGTACTTGTGCAAATAAGCTGGCAAATTCCTGACGATGACATAATTAATGTTGAAATATTGAATCCCAACACGATGGTGTGCATTTCGATACTTGGAGTATGTGTTTTACTATCTTATCTAAGATTAATCAGTGAACCTTTCAGATTTTTTAAAAACAGTACTTAGTAGTATAAAGAATTAAAAATTATAAGTCAGACAAAAGCAAACTGTATTTTACTCGTTAGTAAAAGCCTATACTAAGTTAACTTTGAGTATCAAATCAATTTTCACTGTTGTCCATGATAGTAACTGATAATAAAAAGACAAATAGCTCATTTATGTATACAGTTATGTATATATATAAATCGCTTGTGTCCTTGGGCAAGGCACTTTATCTACGGTTGCCTCTCTCCACCCAGGAGTACAAGTGGGTACCTGGTAGGTTCCAACGCAACTGCGCTGATTACTAGCCGCAATATTATTTAATAATAATATAATTTAATAATTTAATTTGAAGTTCAATGTGTTCCATATGTGTTTGATCCAATGACCAGGGTAGTAATGTGAAGCGCTTAGAGGCTTTGTTAAGCCATTAAACGCTATATAAGAACGACATATTAATATTATTATTATAGTTTAATTGTTAAAGTGAGATGGAAAAAAAATGTTCAGATCATGAAACAGTAGCTTTCATCCGACTATCTG